TATTCAAAATCGTCAACAATAAATTTTTTACGGCTGTAATAGTTGATAGATTTGTAGAGAATTGCACGTGCCATGGCTATTTATAGTATCATACTGTCAGAAAGTTGGTCTCGGCACGGCGAATGTGTACGCTTCAGTGGTAGTCTCGAACTATCAGCGGTGGACTTTATTTCTGTAGAGTACATGGGCCACCCTACGATTGGATGTCGTTGATGTCGAAACTTCTCTTCATATACGGTTACTATATATATATATATATATATATATATATATATATATATTAACAGTTGTCAACTGTGTATGTTTATAGGCCTAAGTGTTCAGTTATAAATCGCTTTATAAATCTGATTGAATCTAAGCCGGAATATCTAAAGTTTAAATAATTAATCTGAACTGTAATGTTCAAATTTGTTTAGTGTCTAAATTGTCCGAGTACATGAGTAAATAATTTCACTTAATATTCATGAGGTAATATAAACCGCTGGTGTGGCGGGAATTCTGGCAGTGAAAGCGTGAACACCGTGGTGTCGATTAGCGTGGAAGGCATATTGTCTTTTCACCGTGTATACATTATGTGTTTTTTTATTTTAGTGATTTTAAATTAGTATGAACAAAAGTGACTCTAATGCGTGTATTAGGGATTTAGTGATAAGTGAATAATTTCATGTTATGAATTGTGTGTTGTGTTTCATATTAGTAAGTGACTTTAATTCATTTTGCAATGAGACATTCATCGTGTGGGTGAATAGTTTTCAAGCAATTAAGTGAGCTTTATATCTTCTGACTTATGATTATTATCATCAAAATATAGACTATATATAGAACTTTATATACTTCAATATTAACTTTTGTAATCATTATATTGCTGAATATAAACTATTATTAATTATTAACTGTGCTGGTGTCTACTTTATAGAACTTTGTCTACTTCAATATTAACTTTTGTAATCATTATATTGCTGAATATAAACTATTATTAATTATTAACTGGTGTCTACTATATATATGTAAAGAAGGTTCTCACGAAGACCGCGTGTTAGATAAAAAATTTCCCCTGCTCTGGGTGTAACCTTTCCTGTGTCAAGGCCACAACTTTGGTGGTTCTTGACAATTCCAGAGATAAGAAATACGTATAGTATAACGAGTGCAAAACAATAGAAGATTTCACGCACTATCGGCACAGTATAGCCATTTTTCAGCTTTACATAATATGAACATAATCCTTTAGTGGCATTTAGCAATTGGAAACATAACAAGACTATACAGTTATATGGGACAACAATCACTGGTTTATTATACACAAGCACGACGTTTCGATAAGTATTCTCTTATCGTTATCAAGCACAATGACATTTAGTAAACTTGAGGGTCTATATATATATGTACAATGCGAAACCATTCTTATTACTAATCATTAGAAGAGTTCAACCAATTAACAGACATATTTAACATCAAAGACCTGAAAAGCACCGTGTGATGACAAGGATATAGTTGTACATGAACCTTAAAACCACCCTGATATTGAAAAAGAAAAATGATTAGGGGGAAACCATACATTAAACAAACAGTATATAACAGATAGAGCTTATAAACACACGGTCTTGTAAATAAAACCACATTCACAAAATGTTATGAAAACAAAGCATAATAGCACTAAGATAACACAATAAACTGATCCAAGGGTTTGAAGGATCTAATATAGGCTAATAATAATATACTAAGTTAACATATTAATCACGATTCAAGGTGTTAAAGTTCAGAGAATATATGTTATTAAAAGTTAATAACTGGGGGGGGGGGGAATCAAAAATATACATAATTAAAAGTGATAACTGGGGGGGGGGGGAATATCGGATAAAAATTATGACCTCTATGCGGCCATTTTGTCTGTTAAGTTTGGGCCGATTTTCACGAAATTCGAACTCAGTCGTCCTTATGGTGTAACGGTGATATAATACGTTTTCTTAAATCGGATAAAAATTATGACCTCTATAGGGTCCACAAGCTAAAAACACGATTTTTTGTAACATCAAGGGCCATAAGAGTAGATCGTATCGCCGCTGTCCGGGCAAAATTTCCCTCATAGCACTCTGTATGACGTATGCCCGTCTTCATTATCCCATTTGGAACAGAACAGTAGGACGTTAAACCCCATTTCATTTCATTTCAGATACTATTATCAATCTGGGTAGATACACTAGAAATATGCGTTCCTTTGACTCCATATCTACTACCGATGATATATGGTGCAGTCACTGCTCATGTTCACAAAAACCTTTTCCTTTACTATTTGCGCCATGTCCGATCTTGTAACCTAACACCTTGAAACGGCCAAACCGAAAACTTGGATAAAATTTTTCGGGTTTTACCAGTTCCAAGTTTTAGGTTGACTCGACGTTTTACCGAAAATTCGGGAAAATAATTCCGACTTTTCGTCCTGCACCACAAATACGGAAAGAATAATTCCCACCAGGAAGGAAATAATTTTTCTTTTTATATAATGTTTTATTTTAGGATACACATTAATCAGTCTGTATTATATACAATGTTGTTATCGGGATTTATAGGTGTCTTAATTTGCAAAGAGACAAAACGTTTTATAGTGTGTCTTTCTAAACACAAATACGTCATGTAGCCCCTATAATTCTGTGATCAAATAGTATTTACAAAGGGCAGCATAACATACAAGAGTTTACAAAAACACATTTAAGCTAATCACGACTGTCATCAGCTCATAAAGCGGTTTCTATAGTATATGCCGAACGGATCTACGAGCCCAAGCGAAGAATCGTTGCTTTAGAAGATTTTGACAAAATTACATCCATATTGAATCCAAAATGAGTAAGGTTTGGCTTTTACCGTTTGTCCGAATTTATCAACTCATTATTCGCATCATCATATACATTTCTAATTCTGTGATTTTCAGAAGACATGCATTTGAAATAGCAGTAAATGATCATTTGGAAATGAAACAGCAACATACTCCAGTACATTTATCAAATGTGGATGAACAGTAGATTGTTTCTGTACGGCATCTGGGCTACCATATTTTGTTATCTGATATTTTGTTCTAAATCTATGACATCTATTACATACCTAATTTACAAACAAAGGTCTAAGTACAATTCATTCTGGGTTGTAATATTAAATGTTTTTTTTCTTTTCTGAAGACATCACGGGTAAATCAACGCCCAGTAAATGTATACAAACTGATCGGTACCTTAAAAGATTTACTACAATTATTTCTCAATTTCACATATTTGACAAAAGATATAACTGAAATCTTTGCCTACGACCGTCACTTGTCAGGGTTGCTGTTTGCGAGGCTGACAGGGTAAGTAGGTCCATCATGGTATACATTGGCGTGTGCGTAAAAGAAACATTCACGGCTCGAGACCTGCCGAAACGTCGTTGCCCGGGCAAAATTATTCTACCTAATTTGCGCACGTAACATGGGGGTTTAAAATCTGATGTTCTGTCCCGACTGGGCTAATGAAGACGGCCATACGCCATGCACTGTGGAAATTCTGCGAGGACAACAGCGTTAGGGTCTACTCTTAAATCGAATTCCAACTGCCAAGTGTATATTTTACGTGCACGCCAATGTGTACACAGGACCTCGGTTTTTCGTCCTATCCGAACGACTGTGAGTTGGGAAAAAATAAAACCCCGCGACAAAATGACCATTTAAAAACAAACACCTCGGCCCACAGACTCGATTCTTCATCAGGGTTTTTAACAAAGTCGCTAAGTAATAAAACAGTACTAAAGCTACTACTTACTAAAAGGTAAAGTTCTACTTGACACGTTAAAAGCGAGACATTATGATCTCTGTTACTCCTGTAACAACCACACACAACTGTTATACTTGCTAATATGCCGCAAGCGCGTAACACAACGTATTTATACTACATTTTATCACGTGACACAACGTATCGATACTATATTTTATCACGTATCGAGTGATTGTCAGCTATCGGGGGAAGTCCCTCTCGGTGTTGGCTAACTGCCAAGGGATCTGTTACCTGCATCACTGACAAGGGAGAACCACGTCGGAAAATCTGGATGAACTTTCTCGGCCAATGCAGGGATCGAACACCCGACCTCCAGGCTAGCGAGCTAGCGTCTTACCCACTTAGCCACGTGATCCCCTGAATGAAGGATGAAACCGAGATGTTTATGTTCATTGACTTCTTTTATAGGAATTTGGTCAAATTTCTCTAGTTGATTAGTCCCGCTTTTGAGGGGTTAAAGGGTATCAGCCTTTTTTAGTCCATCTATTTAGTTTTTCCAGGTCATTATATGGTATAGGCATTAGCAGTTGGATCATCAATTTTTAGATATAGTGTAGTGCGGTCGGCAAATACGCGAATTTTTGAATTTATATTATTTATGATATCATGTATGTAGATTAGAAACAGGTCATGTAGTGACTGGCAACGGTAGTTGTTTTCCCTATAACGATCAAAGAAGCTTGCTGCCAGTACTCACATTCTGGATGAAGTTCGTGCTTAATTGCTGAACATTTTGCAACAAATTTCATGCCGTTAGTAAATGAGCTAGTCTAACTTAGCTTTTGGGTTGGGGCAATTAAGAGCATCTGGCAGGGATACCCCACCATGGAAAATGTCTGGCATCGGCGATTTTCGACACATGTGGATATGCTGAATATTTTGCAACAAGTTTCATGTGGTTAGTAAATGGTAAATGAAAATGGGCAATAACTACAGATAAAACAATTAATTATATTGCCATATTATTGTGTATATAAAATTATTATTCTGATAAGATTACACATTAAAAACATTACACAATTACTGTTAAATATTGTCACTATTCTTTATCACAAAAAAATATTCGTGGACAATGGACGGCATGTGGCCGTAAAAAAGGGATTACGTTTATTTGGCTCTTGTGAGTGATATAATGTCGCTGCAAGCGATATTAAATTTTCATAAGGCGTTACCCACGTGATCTCAAATTTGACCCATATAGCAACGTTACGTCATTATAATGGGCAAGGTTTTCATGACATTAATTCTCGCTCGGCATAAATCGACGCAATGTTTAAAGTAAAACTATTTGAATTAATAATATCAGTTCTAACGTTTATGGATTACTTGGATCACTTAAGATATTCTTTTGGATTAAGTTTGTATCATGAATTCTCAAACAAAGGTAAGCAGTTATACATGATAAAGTGAGCTATATAACAATTTTAAATATGGCCGTTGCACTTGTATTCTTTCCGGAAGGATTTAATCAATTTCAGCATACCACTATCGAGCCTACGTGAAATTCTAATACACTGTATTATATAATAGTATCTGGACAGACATCTGTATATAAACTACAGTAAATGAGTTACAGCTTCTACAAATTATGTCTGTAAACTATGGGTGGAGTTCGATCTTTCTAGTTATGAATACGTTTCATCTACCCGTCTTTATCTTCCCGGTTAGTGCAGAAAAGTAGAACGTAAAACTTAATTGTCTTATTTAAATTGACATAGGAATGACAAATAAATTATGTGTAGTCGTTTCTAACTTATACTTTGTATAGAAACACAAAATATAGGATGTATAGCGAGGCATGGCAGGTAAAAGGGGAACGGCCCTATATATAAACAAAATAATATATAGGCCGTAGAACCAGTTCTAACTATATATAGAAACACAACCTTGACACAAAATATGAGAAGAACAGTCAGCCATTAAATATTAAATAGAAATCCAACCCTACAATATATAGTAGTCCAAAATGTGTTTAATAATTATTTATTTACAAATCAGTACACTGTACGTGGTTATGACAATTTTTATAATTTTAATTAATATATGTCATGGTTTACTGAAAACAAAAATAAATTGATAACAAGCGGTTAAATATTTATCAAAAATATGAAATTGTGGTTATCTCCCCTAGATTATATTTATTAGCTTTAAGATACTATACGATTTTACAAATGAAATGAACTGGAGTTTAGCGTCCTATTTTTCTGCACCGATTGGACAAATGAAAACGGGACAATTTTACAACAATAAGGCATATATGTAAATTACATTGACCAACAATAATTTATCTACGTACAGTATACCAATAGTTGTCAATGTTTATATAATAATGGAATGAACTAAATATGAAAGACATATATAAATATTCTTTAAATGGCATTTAGTAATTGGATCATAATCAAATAACACACTATTTATGGATAACAATTACTGTGGTTTATTTCACTGCGACGTTTCAACAAGATTTCACAAGTCGTTATCAAGCATATAACACAAATAAATAAAATGAAAACAAAATAGCTATATATATATACACGAGCAGTGCGAACCCTCCAATGGGATGCAAAATCAGCAAGCATGAGCAACTGTCCCAAGCCGTTAAATAAACAATGTACATAGATGGTTATAAACTGTAATTGGTATAGATAAGTGCAGGAATGAAGCCAAAGGATCAAACAATTATTAGCAGGTATAATGAGTCACGAGCAACTGGTCCTGGCTGTAAAAACATATTAAATAAATCTATATATATATGTACAGTAATTAGTTATAGATGAAAGTAATAATAAAAGATGAAAGGACAAGTATTATGGGGGGTGAAACTGAAGCCATAAGCAGTTAATCCTAACAGTGAAGGCAATATGTAGTAAAGCAAATTGTAATTGATTTGAGGAGATGTACAAAGTTAAAAGCAATACAAATATTTAAATTAAAGGATAGTTCAGAGACGATGTAAACTACATTTTAATGATGCGATCATACGCTCTTGGAATGTAAATTCCTGGGTCCCTGTTTAGTTTTGGTTCATCTATACCAATTCAATCTGCAAGCAACACGCGCTTTCATTCTCTTTCATCCAGACATACTCTTATATCCAGACGCTCGTTAACCGATGTTTTAAACTGGAGTGGCTGGTATATTAACCTTGATTAAAGTTTCAAACTTATGTTCTAATACACTAATACAAAACATACACCTCGAAATGGATCAAATCCAATATATTTTTCACACTGCCCCCCCCCCCTCCTCACACAGGTTAATCCAGCCCTGAAGGCAAATAACTGCTCCAAGAGGGAGGGGGTGAATAGGGTTTAACGCCTATTTAACATACAACAGAACCAATTTACCACATTCACAATTGTTGTGTTCGTCGGATTATTCTTGCCACAGATACAAACGATGTATTCCTAATTCTTGAATTTTCCAATTCCACACGGCGACTAACAGAAAACTCACGGATCGTAACAGAAAATGATCGAACTTGTATTGGGTTAATTACCATCTGACAGTTGTTTCCGGTGGGCATCTGGCTCTCCTGGCAACCGGAATAATTTTCAGGAATTGCCATATTGTCTGTAAATATAATAAAACAAAACTTAAAAATTGAAGATGGGGGTAATACACTGTATTTATTTGTAACCGTGAGATGAGATTAGCTAATTGACTTTAGTTTTAAACGGTACAAAATCCCCGCATTATAGGTGCACCTAGGAAGTAATCCGGGGCGGACGGCTGCGCTCTCTTGTTACCCTCATCGGTTTTTAGATGACGTTTATGCTGAAACAAAATGAAATGGGTTTAAAGTCCTGACCCAACTGGGCTAATGAAAACGGTCATATGCCATACAGTGTGCTATGGGGGGGGGGGGGGAGTTTGACCAGACAATGGCACTATATCGAATTCCAACTGCCAATTTATTTCTTTTTTTATGTGCACGCCAATGTGTACACGGGACCTCGCGACGAATTACCCCTTAAAACAAACGCCTTTGCCTACAGACTTGATTCATCAGCAGCGTTTAACTTTTTCCAACAAAGTCCTGAGAAATAAAAGAGAACAAAATGTATACTTACTAAAGAAAGGTAAAGCTCTGGTAATGATACTATATTTACACGTTTAAAACACGACACTATGACATCGGTAACACTTGTAACCACACAAAGCCAACAACTGTTATACTTGCTAATCCCGCTCTGAAATATGCATCCAGAATAATGTACTGTTTCATCACATTGATCTCTCTATAATACTTGTATAATTGTTAAATGTGCGTATTATATCGCAGACTCAACCATCCAATCGGAGTACTCTGATTGGCAAATATAAGTCCTATGTCATACAATCCGTGCATAACACTGTAATTCATAAATATACGGGCTATCTACTAACACCACGCGAGTCATAGCGATGCAAATAGCTTTTTTCAAGTGTGATGTGTAAGTTATTGACTGTGAAGACGTGTTCGCCTAAGGCTGCTATTACATAGGGGAATACGATATATGGTCTTCGGTATACGGTATACGGGCACGGTGGTTTACACGACATATACTATACGTAGGTATACTGTATTTTCCCAAACGATTTTGGTACCCTCATCGAGGCTCATTCATATCCAAACAGAATGGATTCAGAAGAAGACGAAACTCTGACTTGGTTTTTACTTGGGGAGGCGTAAAGTATGGTGGCGTGACGGTCAGGCTTGGAGTCGGCTTATTCCAATATTGAGGGGGGGGGGGATAACTGGAAATCACTGTTCATGATAATCTAGAATAGTCTATCATGACTAGAGATATGTCCATCAATGTTCAGAATTTTTGATTCGAACTTTTTACAACACAAATGCCCCATTTTCTACTCATCTCATGGAATTTACTCCTCCATGAAGCATGTATACGCCGAAAAAAAAACGAACATGCACGATACCAGGTATACGCGTTGGCGTGCCCCTATACGCGTATAGTCCGCTGTAAACGGCTAAGCAAATTCCTGTTGTTCGTACACAAGTATTCGCGTATACCTCTAAACGTATACCGAATACCCCTATGTAATAGCAGCCTAAGGTGTTTATAGAGAAGCGGAAGGTGTTCACAGCGACCTTATACAGTGTCCTCTGCCCCCCTCCCCCGAACTTCGATACCTGTAGTTCTCCGTAATTGAACCAATAAGACGCGGGGCTCGGTTTTTGTGCTTACCTTATAGTGTAGATAAATTTCTGAATCACCTCACAGAAGATCCGGTGAAAGTTTAACAATTTTTATCCACAAATTAGTATTGTATCACTCGCATCCAAACAGTATACTATCAATTTCCTGAAAGTCAAATGTAAAAAGAATGTGTTACGGATTTTATATCGTTTTTTTTGTCAATTAAATTTTGTCAATTTCAATCAATGCTCAGCTGTCTTTTGCCAAGAATGTGAGTATTGTATTAGTATGCTGGTTGGAAATACTGTAACAGTGTACATTGACAAAATATGCAATATATTTTATTTTAGATATTTTATTCTTATGCATTTTAAAAAAATGTATATTTTATAGATTATATAGTTTATTTTAAATGTATATATGTTTATTAAAGACGTCGAGTCTATATTGCATAAATCAACCTTGACGCTGATTTGGTGTCAATAGATCTTAAGCATATTATATAATTGTTTACTGATATAGAAGAACTTGAATAGAGGGTCCTTTATTGGTTGTTTATTTTAAAGTAATTAAGTAAGATTAATGGTGACAGCTTTAACTTTAAAAACAATACCTAAGATTACACTGACGCTATTACTCGGGTAGTCGTTACCTGACATATTAAGTCAAGCGAGTCTAGATCCGGCCAATCAGATTTCGTATCGAGTAATGGGCGTCTTCCGTAAATGGTCTTCCACCAATCAAAAAATGAGATTAATCCAACACGTGGCATCTCTAATATTTGCCGGGATTTTTGGAAGATATAAATATATCTAGCTAAACTTTCACAATTATCTTCACTTAATAAATTACTTTGAAACGACAATATTGGATCTCACTTATATTCAGGTAAGCCTCTATGTATATTTTAATTGTTTAAACTTTATATATATTTTATTCTAACCTTTGACTTAGAATTATATCCTTTTATATCGAATCAATACGATTAGTAGAATCGAGTATTACATTAATAGATATTTCTACATCTACGTAAAATATTAATTAATAAACGGAAAAGTAAGAATTGATATGATTCATTACTTGTTTAATTACTTGAGAATATTTTACAATATATATATATTTATTAAAACGGAAAAGTACGTTTGTCGACGAAATACTTGTTTGTTTAAATATGTTTCAATAACAGATAATTAATAATTAGAAATGGTTCGCGCTAAATTAAACGGAAAAGTAAGGATTTACATGATTTATTACTTGTTTAACTTCTAGCGAATATTTTACAATATATATTTTTAATAGACGGAAAAGTACTATATATTCGATAGATTACTTGTTTATTAAAGAAATGTGTTATTTAGATTAGTGGAAATAATTAGTGACTAAAAAGTACGGTATATGTTATTTTCCATTAATACTTGTTGCTAAATAGAGAATAAAGATTTAATAGTTATATTTACTAAAGATTTCATAGTTATATTTAATAAAGATTTAATAGTTATATTTATTAGTTACATTTAATAAGGATCGTACATTTAAGAAATTCTACATCAGTAACTTGTACCTCTTCACAAGCGAGTTAGCTCTATTGTATTACATTGAAATTATACATATATTATTATTGTTCTTATATGCTACACCACCCTATGTATATATATTATTATAAGCTACACCATCCTTTACATAGTATTTACGTTATATTGTTATTAATGTTGAATTTGAATAATGATGATCTTCACTTCATAAATTACTTTGAAACGACAATATTGGATCTCTCTTATATTCAGATTAAAAACCACCGAAAACCACACTTTTACAATACGATGGTATATGTTTTGTGTGGTTATGATAAATAACTAGTCAATTTACTGTTTAGATCCAAACCATTTTCGAAACATATTATTATTATTATTATTATTATTATTTATAAGCGTTTATATAGCGCCATTTCCACAAAAGTGCTCAATGACGCTTTACAATAAAGATAATATGATTGACAGAACAAATATAAGATTAAAACATAAAAAGTGAATAATATACATAAAAGTTGAGTAAAAGGAAGTATTGCATAAAATATAAGTATAGTTATCACAGAGATGATTAATTAAAAGCCCTATTAAACAAGTGCGTTTTTAGAGAAATCTTAAATGATGACAGAGAAGTGCATGACCGAATGGAATGAGGAAGTTTATTCCATAGTTTGGGGGCAGCTACCCCAAAAGCCTTCTCGCCGAAACTGACGAGATTAGCTTTTTTCTCAATAAGTAGCAGATTGTCACCGGAAGACCGTAATTGTCGACGAGGTTCATAAAAACCTAAAAGATTACTAAGATAAATAGGTGCCATGTTATTTATACATTTAAAAACTAATAATAAAATCTTATAATCAATTCTAAAAATAATAGGAAGCCAGTGTAGTTTATATAGAATAGGTGTAATATGATCCCTATATACTGCTCCAGAAATAAGGCGAGCAGCTGAGTTTTGTAATTTTTGCAATTTTTCAAGATGTTTGAGGGGTGCACCGTACAGGACAGAATTAAAAGAATCAATACGCGAAGTAACTAATGAATTTATTAGTGTTTTTGTGGCATCTACTGACAGATATTTACGTATTTTAGCTATGTTTCTTAAATTAAAATAACTTATTTTGCAAATATTGTTTATGTGATTTTCCAAAGAAAAATTTGAGTTAAAAATTACACCAATATTTCGGGCTGATTGAGAAGGGGCAATGCAGCTATCTCCTGCTTGTATTGACAGATCGAAGTTCAACTTTTTCCTGTTTAAAGACGACCCAATAACCAAATACTCAGTCTTATCTGCATTAAGTTTCAAAAAATTGTTGTTCATCCAGATTTTAATGTCCACAATACAAGTTTCAATACTTAGCTTGGAAATGTCGAAGTTACTTTTGATAGGTTTAAACGAAATGTACAACTGTGTATCATCCGCATATAGATGAAATAATAATCCATGATGTCTTACTATGAGGCCAAGTGGTTTAGTGTATAGACTAAACAAGATCGGTCCGAGGACGGAACCTTGTGGTACACCGGAAGCCAGAACAGAAGGGCTAGAAGATATTCCGTTTACTACAACACTTTGTGAGCGGTTAGTGACATGAGAGCGTAACAGACTCAGAGCGTTTTCAGTAACACCAAAATCAGATTGTAGCCTGTGAAGCAAAATATTGTGGTCTACAGTGTCAAAAGCCGCGGATAAATCTAAGAGAACTAGAAGCACACATTCACGGCGATCTAAACTCATGTTGATATCATTGTGTACCCGAACAATAGCGGTCTCGGTGCTATGAAACTTCCTGTAAGCACTCTGAAACTCTTCCACTAGATTATTGTCACTGATATGGGATGTGAGTTGGCTTGCTATTACGCGTTCTAAGGTTTTAGATAGGAAACTCAGGTTAGATACTGGTCTGTAATTTTTCTCCAGATTCTGATCTAAGTTGAATTTCTTAATTAGTGGGAAGATGATTGCGGTTTTGAAGTCGTCAGGAACAGTGTTTTCACAAATACAAGTGTTTATAATGTCAGTCATAATAGGTACAATGGTTGGTAGGCATTCTTTTAACAATATTGTCGGGAGGGGGTCAAGTGAACATGATTTTGAGGAAGACTGATTTATAACTTTAGCCACTTCGGACACAGACACGAGTTTGAAATGAGAGAGGGTTGGAACTTCAGAAGACAAATTCTTATGATAGACATGTCCGCTGATCTCAGTAACCAATCCTTCACGAATCTTGACAATCTTCTGAGAAAAGTAAGCAGAGAATTTATCTGGGAGTTCCTGTACAGGCACAGTTTCTGGAAGCTTAGTGGCGCCATAGTTTGGATCAAGAAGTGTACTTGTTACTCTGAATAACTCTTTCTGTTTGTTTTGACCAGTCTCTATTTTATCCGAGTAGTAGGACTTTTTAGCCTTGCGTATTAAATGATTAACTGTATTCTTTTTACATTTAAATATCTGTTCATGTATTGTGAGATTTGTTTCGCGCCACTTACGTTCTGCTTTATTTCGAAGTTTCTTTGCTTCAAGGATATCATTGTTAAACCAGGCTGAATTTGGCAGAAGTCTGATTGTCTTTGTTTGTAACATTTTATACATTAATAACTATTACAATGGATCCGTCTGTAATGGCTGATTCTCAAACAACAAAATAATAATTTTTAAAAAAGGGATAGAATGAAATAAGAAGACGTAAAGTAAACGACTGTTGTTCAATTTGGACTGTTAATGTATTGATTAGATATTACAATTATTGTTTTAATAATTAAATATACATTCATATTACATTAAGATGATTTTAGATCAGTTTCACCGATTCTAAGATTTCCTAGTTACCCACAGCTTTTCAAATTTGACCCATTCAGTCACGTGTATACGCGCCTTTGTCCATTTGCAACTTAATATGTATATCCACTGTTTAAGGAGATGTGTTTTAATGCTAATCGTTTACACTACTAACACAAATGTTGTACACGGAAATATAGCTAAGGCTATAATATCAAACGACATGATATTAAATGAAATAGGTTTAAAGACCCCCTTTCTTAACCAACAGGGATAATTAAGACGGACAGTGTGTGACTTCGAAACAGTTATAAAATAAACGAATATATACCATTTCACAACAAAACATTGCAAGCAACCTTGTGTGAATCCAAATACAAAACCCGTTGACACTATCTACATCTTCAAATATATTCCAAGGCGAAAATAAAATTGCACTGAGAATATAAAACTGTAATATAATCCAATAATGGCAATATAATAATCCAATAGTAATAGAATAGGAATACACCTGTTCTTTACGTCAGCAAGAGTACGACTAGGACAAAGAGGCGTGGCTTACGGTGTAGGTGATTGACAAGTGGGCGAATTAACTTCAGTAATTGTTAGTAATGATAGGTGTGAGGCATCCATCTCTTTAATCGAGTTTAAAAACCCTGTTTGTCAATAACATTATTATCTAACGAGATGCATTTTGCTTTTCTAATAAATCAAGTTTGAAAATATGGACAATCTGCCACATTCCTTTAGCCATTTGCCAGATATATATCTCTTAGTTATACTGACACAATAAATTTGAAACTACTTAAATATGCCGGTTTATATTGACACACGAAATTTGAAACTACTTTATG